TCAATTTTAAAGCAAGTTTTCAGGTTCAAAAACCCTTCGTCAAGCTAAGGAAGTTTCAGCAGTTGATGCGTGCTTTTCCTGGATGGAATGAAAAGAGTAAACTTTTGACCAAAATACCTGAATACACAGTAAATATATTTTGATTGAAAATGTTTTTATTGATCTGTCCAAAACTGGAATGCTGTCACCCCTTCTCTTGTGTCTCACCTCCTCAGTATCTTTAATTTATTCTCTTTAAAATTAAATGTTGCATTAATAAGTCCTGGGTTTTTTTGAGTGGAGTGGTTATAGTAGTTGTTATGGCAAGGAAGAAATAGAGGGACCTACTATGCACTGTCTCATGTTAGAGCTAAGAGACATGTAGTGAAATTGTCCGATCCCCTTTCTTGTGGCAATACATTAATTGCATGTTGTGTGAAAAAGAACTTCCTTTTGTTATAAACCAGCTAGTTAACAATTTCAGGTGGGATAGGGCTGTCATTGATTACTAAACACAGTATGAGTACAGTCTCCAAATTAGAATTTCCTGAGTCTCTGAATGCTGGATTTTTTAAAGGAGCTTGGGAGATTGGACAGACAAGTCTGTATAAGCCAGTGGTCACCAACCAGTTGATCGCAGAGCCTCTTGCAGTTGATCTGAGGCTGGGGGGGCTGAGCATGTGCACGCATGCGGGCACGTGTGCCCCCCCACCTTCCCCAGCCGAGCAGGTCAGTCTGTGGGGGAGGGAAGGAGTAGGAGCCAGATTGAGGCCCTCGTAGTAAGGGACAGAGTACGGCACAGGCAGGAGCAAGGGCTAAGGTGAGTGGGACTCTGGCCGGGCCGGGTGGTGGAAGGATTGAACCCAGGTGGCTTGTACAAGGGTGTGGAGGGCTTCTGTTGCTGTGCGCAACTCGGCAGAGGCCGGAGGGAACATGCCCCCTCATCTGTGTGCAGGGTGGAGGCAGCTGCTGCTGAGCACTGGGCTTTGTGCTCCGAGCCTCACTGCAGCTGTCCTGGGAGCAGCGTGATGCCACTTAAGTCCTGCTGCTGGGCGGGCAGGTTGCGAAACATAGCCCAGTGGTGAGACACTCATGGCGTTGGCCCACTCCCAGGGCAGCTACAGCAGGGCTTGGAGAGCAAAGCTCAGCACACAGCGACAGCTGCCTACACCCTGTGCACAGATCGGGGAGCATGTGCCGTTCCCAAACATCGGGCAGCGTGGGTGGCTGCAGCAGGGGTAGGGAGGGGTGCGCACACAGTGGTGAGGGAGGGAGTGGGATTGGGGCAGGTGCCACACAGCCAGGGTGGAGCGTAGGATGGAGTCATGAGCAGCTCAGCCAGGGCACATGGCGGGGGTGGGGCATGTGCCTCCAGATCTGACCGTAGGGCAAGGCGGGCTACCACTGTGGGCTGGGGCCAGGGCAGCGTTGGGCTCTTCCCAGTGGGGGCGTTGGGCTGGGCTGTTCTCAGGGTGGGCACTGGGGGCCTGGCTACCTGGGGTGTGGGGAGGCTGCAGGCACCCGAAAATTTGCTGTAGCTCCGCCAGCCCCCTCTTCCAGTGCCACTGCTGCCCACCCCAAGTGCAGTGCTGTCCAGCACCCACACCAGGAAGAGCCTGGCACAGCCCCGGCCTCAGCCTGCAGCGGCAGCCCACCCTCCCTGTATGTAGTTCCTGGGCACACAGCCCCCATGCCCTCCCAGTGTGTGTGCAGGACCCACGAGGCCAGACAGATGGGATGAGGCCAGGATATTGGGACAGTGACAGTGCGGGGCTGGGGCTGGGGCCAGGGTCAGGGCAGAGGCATGATGCACTCCATGTACACCCCTGCCTGCAGAACCGGCGCCTGTCGCAGGGTCGTGCAGGCAGCAGATCATAGCTTTCTTCCAGGCCCCGACCCTGCACTGTTACTGCCCTGTGATTCTCGCCTTGCCTGCCCGTCTCACTCCCAAACATTGCTTCCCATCCACCTGGGGTCCCATCCCAATAGATTTTGGTGATATATTGGTGATCGTATACTTAGACTTCAGGAAGACCTTCGATATGCTATCCCACACCATACTGGTAAACAAGTTAAGAGGCTGTGACTTGGATGACTACACGGTCCGGTGGGTGGCGAATTGGCTAGAGGGTCGCACCCAGAGAGTCGTAGTGGATGGGTCGGTATCGACCTGGAAGGGCGTGGGCAGTGGGGTCCCGCAGGGCTCGGTCCTTGGACCGATACTCTTCAATATCTTCATCAGTGACTTGGACAAGGGAATGAAGTGTACTCTCTCCAAGTTTGCGGATGACACAAAACTGTGGGGAGAAGTGGACACGCTGGAGGGCAGGGAACAACTACAAGCAGACCTGGACAGGTTGGACATGTGGGCGGAAAACAACAGAATGCAATTCAACAAGGAGAAATGCAAAGTGCTGCACCCAGGGAGGAAAAATGTCCAGCATACCTACTGCCTAGGGAATGACCTGCTTGGTGGAATGGAAGCGGAAAGGGATCTTGGAGTCCTGGTGGACTCCAAGATGAACGTGAGTCAGCAGTGTGACAAAGCCATCAGAAAAGCTAGTGGCGCTTTATCGTGCATCAGCAGATGCATGACGAACAGATCCAAGGAGGTGATACTTCCCCTCTATCGGGCGCTGGTCAGACCGCAGTTGGAATACTGTGTGCAGTTCTGGGCGCCACACTTCAAGAGGGATGTGGATAACCTGGAGAGGGTCCAGAGAAGGGCCACTCATATGGTTAAGGGCTTGCAGGCCAAGGCCTATGAGGAGAGACTGGGGGACCCGGGACCTTTAAGTTCATCACGGGGGCACAGAAGGGAATTGGTGAGTATTTATTCACCAAGGCGCCTCCGGGGGTTACAAGAAATAATGGCCACAAGCTAGCAGAGAGCAGATTTAGACTGGACATTAGGAAGAACTTCTTCACAGTTCGAGTGGCCAAGGTCTGGAACGGGCTCCCAAGGGAGGTGGTGCTCTCCCCTACCCTGGGGGTCTTCAAGAGGAGGTTAGATAAGCATCTAGCTGGGGTCATCTGAACCCAGCACTCTCTCCTGCCTATGCAGGGGGTCAGACTCGATGATCTATTGAGGTCCCTTCCGACCCTAGCATCTATGAATCTATGAATCTGTTGCATGTGGGGGTGGGGGTGCTGACCCAGCCTGCAGCAGCTCAGCAAAACTCCTAGTGTGGCCCATGGGCCCAAATAATTGCCCACCCCTGCCTTAGAATCTTTTATCTGTTATTAAGATGGAGGATGCTGAGTTAGATGGACATGTGGTTTGGCCTAGCATAACACTTCTTTTGTTTTGTCTTTCTTTTGAGTGCAGATGGTATTATTGGTTGTGAACTTTTGAGGGGAAAATGGATGACATCCTACTTCTGTGGAAGTTCTGAAGAGACAGAGTAGCAGTTTGTAACTAATAGGACTGCACTGAGTTTCTAATATGTGCTTCAGAGCATACCTGCTATATGGAGTATTTAATTTAGTCATTATGTTGAAAAAGCAAAAAAGAGGCAAAATGCACGTATTCTTTTGTTTTCCAAGTGTCTTGTCTTTAAATGCATGTGGTGAAGAAAGGAAGCAGGGGAAGAGGAACCAATAGAAGTTCAGTGAAAGATTATTTCTGTTTTATGGGAGCCATTAGATTTAATTTGTCTGGGAATGCAAATAGAGGAAACTGGGATTTGTCATAAAAGAAGACCTGAATTTTATTAATCTTCCTGAACTTTAATGCGTCTTTGGAAAATACCCTGCTGCCTTTGGCTTAACAGGGAATAAAATGGTGTCACAATCTGTAACCAGTTTTAGGGGTGGGGAGAACTTATTTTGGTTTGAGAAAAGACTGCTCTTCAGGCCTTTTAAACTGTTTTAATTACCTGCTGAGAAGCCCCATCCTTTTTAGCAGCTGGTAAAGTAACTTGCATTGTAAACAGGGTACTTTCCCTATACTCTTCTTGGGGCTGTTAATCACTTTTCACTCAGCATAAGTATTCTTAATTAAACAGTATTTGGAGAGCAATTGGATACCTAAAAGTAGCATTTCTTTGGGAAATTCGAGGAGGAGAGGAGTTGTATGTTCTGCTGCCTGGTGGCTTTGTAGGTAAAGGATTGGAGTAATGTGCCCATTTTGCTTTTAATGGTTTCTGTAATTGGCAATTGAGCAGGGGTCTAGGATAGGGCAGATTTTTATCTGATTTGTAACTAGCATTTTTCTCCCTCCATTCTGCAAAAATGTGAGTAGGTGGTGCAATGTATTTTTTTCAGCCCTTCTATGTATAGTAAACAGTGGATTACAATCCACTTCAAACCACCTGGTGCTATGAAGGAAGCTGTTTCAACAGTGTTGTTGCCTATTCTTTCCATTTCTATTTTGGGATGGTCTTTCCTTAAATTAATAGCTTCAGCGTTTGGATTTCTTGTTGCTCATAATTTTCTTTAGGAGCCACAGAATTATATGGAAGCTTATTTTTGAACTTCATTACTCTCCCCAGGGTTCTGGAAAGAAATACTGGAAGGTGACAAACAAGATGCTGTTTTTACTCTGCATCTTAGAAGAGCTGTGTGCATTGGCTATCCTCAGATTTAGGAAACAATAAATCTGAGACTGTGTTCAATCTATTACTCGTCTTAAGTGGTACTTAGGTATAGAATGTGATCCCATACATTGAAGTATGAGTTCTTGAATAATTGTTAAAGCAAAAGGTGTTTGGGCATTTTTTCTGACTCTCCTTTTCTGTGAGTTAGTCTTAAGGCTGTTATTGAAGGCTCACTACAAAAGCAGACTTGTTAAAGGGTATTTCAGGGTGGATAGGATCATTTAGATGTTTAATAAGCGGAATAGCATCTAGCCGTAATGTCTTGACCTTATGGTTGTAGTATTTCTTAAGATGAAAGCTTATATTTGTTAGCAACTGCGGTGATTTTATGAAATTTCTGTTTTTCCTCCCCCAGAATAACTCTCGTAGCAGCAGACAAATTTGACTATATTTCTTTGTTTTTCTTTTCTTTCTCCCTTCCAGATTAGAAAGTGGAATTTTGTCCAGTTTCTTCTTGCAAAAGAAATAAAACTAGAGAATAAAAATGGGTACTCCTGGATCAGGAAGGAAAAGAACTCCAGTAAAAGACAGATTTTCTGCAGAAGATGAAGCTTTAAGTCACATTGCCAGAGAGGTTTGTAAATCTATATTTTCTTATTATATGAAAATACAGGTGAAATGGTTTAACTTGGAATATAGCTGTAAAAAATGTTTACTGCATGTACAATAACTAGTCACAGAACTTACAGTTGATATAAAATGGGAGTGTGTGCATGCGCATGTGTACATTGCCTTTGTTAAATCCAATGGCAAACTAAAATACATCAGGCAAAGTAACATATTGATCTATATGTGTATGTACATGCACATACACATATAAATGTGTGCCACGTATATGGAATATACACACGTACGTATTACTGTTAATAGTTATATACATACATATTACTTTAGCTAATATATTTTAGCTTGCCATTGGATTTAATAAATTTGTTAGTATTGATTTCCTATGCAGGAAAAAATTAAGTAGTTGGTTACGTATTTTGCATGATGCTAATAAACCTTTGCTCAAGATAAATGAAAACTATAAATGACTGCTTTAATTTAAGAGTGTTTTGAAAAATTGTTTATCTTGGCCCGATTTAAAATACCATACCTTGGATTATGTGTATAGTTAGATACTGAATTTTAATTATGAGTAATTAGCCTGCGTTTATAAATGTTGACAAGTATTTATTTATAACTTGAATGGGGGGGTTAAGAGTTGTTTTCAAACTGAATTTAAAAATATATGTTGGGTTTAAAGATTTTTCTGAACAGAGTAATTGGCTTCCAACTATCTAGGAGATTGGGAGAATGGATTTTTCCAGAGGTGAAGAATTAAAGTCTGTACTTTTAACAGGGTATTAAGAGAGTATTTGGTCCTACTAGTCATTGGGTATGGTGGAGAGGATAGGAGGTTATTAACTGGGAGTAGAGCTGTGTATAAAAGATCTCTGAGCCATTTTGTAGTAAAAATCATGGTGTGCATAGTACGGAAGGGAATGTATTTGTATGGGGGTGGTGGGGCAGGGCAGTAAAATTCTGCACCGAGTTGCACCTTTGAGAGTTCTGTTAACTTGAGTGAGCTTTCAAAAGTAACCTGAAGTGAACATACAGGTTGTGTCAGCTTAATCATCTTTTACAGAATAAAGAAATGTAGTAGGGTTTCCCAAGTATTTTAAATACTGAATTACGAAAGAGTGGAGATGAAAAACACTTTGCCTATAAATTTTTAAACAAATGAACATTAAAAGAAAAAAAAATACACTGGAGTAGCCAAAACACATTGTACTTGGAGTCTTAGGAGCAGACAGTCCCCTCTGGGAGTACTGGATGAGGGAATTGCGCCAGTCTTTTCAGACCCAGCAAATAGATCCAGCATCTCTTTTCTGACAGCCTGGGCAGGGATGTGCATACATGAGAATGAAATTCCCTCATCGTAAGGGTCACAAGGAACACTTACCAGGCTTTGACCAACCTTTCTGGATCAGCACACAGATCCTATACATTTTTAACCTTCCTGCTTGTTTAACTTTGTAACCTACCTTAAAGAGTATGGAGGAATAAGTTAAGCATTCAGATTAGGAAATGCTAATATATTATGATTACTAATTGCATTGTCACATCCAGGTCCACAGGATTGCTTCATTCGTTATACAGGTTGAAAAAGGTTTAGGGTTCAGTATTCATGTGTATTTCCAGGGACGGATCTGAGGGGGTGGGTGTATAGTGATGTGGTTGTACCCCCCTTTCACAGTGTCAGATGTTCCATTTCCCCATGCCTGGGTCCTTTGCAGTATTGAGGCATGGCTGGAGCCCTGGGCTGGATTGGGACACCCGGTGGGGACAGAGCAGGTGAGGAAGGGGGACCCATCTGTTGCTGTCCTGTTCCCAGATTGCAGGAGAAGTCTGGGGACTGCATGAGGGCCTGGAAGGTGGGGATCACCACTGACACTGCTGTCCCTAACCCTGCCCAGAACTTTGCACAGCTGCTCCCTGCATCTGAAGCCTCTGGGCCAGTGGGAAAATTCAGTGGAGAGGCAGGAGCAGGGACCTGTTCACTGCCACCAACCTGGCACCCAGTACACTTGATCTCTGCAGCCCTTGGCTGGAATGGAGCAGGAGTGGACCTGAGGCTTCCTCTGTTTCCAGGTCAGCTGGGGGCAGCATTGGTAGCAGGCTTCCATGCTTCTGCTCCCTATCCACACTCTGGTGTCTCCTGTGATCTGGGAGCAAGTGCTAGAAGGGAGGGACCCACTCATTGTCCAGTTGTTGTCTGTGTCAAGTACAACCTGCTGCTTACCAAAGCACTCAGCTTGAGCGGAGGAGAAACAGCCTTGGGGCTCCCCAACTCCTAGGTCAACTGGGGACAGTGGGCAGGTCCACCGTTCTTGCACCTGGAGGCAACTCCTGCTGGAAAGGGTGCGAGGGGGAGTAGGAGAAGAGGAAAGGTGCTTGCATTGGAGAGGAAAAGGTGCCAAGAGCAGTGGGGGAAGGGTAAGTCTTACCTGGTTTGGGGACTCCAAAAAGTCCCTGGCAGTTGCTGCTGTGGCACAGTCTGCCCGCACAGGGTGGGAAAGGGGGTGGGAAGGCTGCAGCTTCCCCTGTGGCATGAGTGGCATCCCCCACACCCTGCCTTTTTGAATTCCTAGGTCTGCCCATGTACATCTCAATACTTTCACAGCCGGGAGCACAATCCTTTCATAATCCATCCTTCTGCAGCTGAATGGAAACTTGTGTGAAAAAGCGAAACGCCCAGCCTTTATTTTCTTTGTTATTTGGAAATCCAGTTTGTCTACATTAGTCATAATCCTAACTAATAAGTGACACTCCATGTTTTACATATTACAAACACAGCATTCTGGATTAAGTATTCTCTGCATCTAATTGAATATTATGTTAACTTAAATTATTTCTAGTAGCCTGGGCCCACACTTTGTTCTGGGAGTTTGGTAAGCAGTATATTTTTTTTTATGGTGAAATGAGGAGGCCTGTTTAAAGAGAGATTGAAATACACACGATCTTGATAAAGTAGTGTATTTTAAAAATCAAATTTTAAAGAATATTTTTTTGTGTGCAAGTATTAACTGGAGACCTACTACTTGGCACTCAGTTATCTACAGTGAAAATTTGTCTAATATGGAAACAGCCTGTGCTTTAAATTATGTGAGCAGTAGGTCCTTCAGAAAGAGAAGCAGAGGCATATTATATAACACTCATCATACATTATCTAATCTACTTAAAGTATTTGAATATGGTTGCCTAACCTTTGTTCTTTTCTTCAGACAGCCTTAGGTGACTTCCTGTATTCTTTAGACTGAGAGAGAGGATTCATGGACTAGATGTCCCAGCACAAATAGAGGCAACTTCCCCATTTTAGTTCAAAATTTCTGTTAGAATGCTGCAGCACTGAATTCTTACCATTTAGCATTAAAAATCAGTAATAAATTGAGGAATGTAAATCTTGTGTTAATATGATCAGACTGCTGATTCCATCAGTTATTTAAATGTTCTCCCCAGTGTTATTTAAAAGAACAATGAATTATGTATTATGGCCTTTAATTCTATTTTTTCCCCTTTTTTTTTTTTTATTAAAGTTGTCTTGTGCAAATTACATTTAAGTCAGCTTCCCCATATTTCTGTCTGGGGTTTCTTTGTTTTGTGTAGAGGCTACATAGATTACATGTTGAAGGATCCAAAATTAGATGCTTCTGAAGATTTTATGAAAATTCAGACATCCAAAATGCAAGAAAATTCAATATAATCTTTGTGAAAGAATCAAGGTGATCCATTTTTTTTGACACTTCTAAATGAAAACCTGGTAAAAATGGGTTACTGTCTCTCATTCAGGATTCTTCCAACTTTGTCATTAATAGTAAGTACAGTTATGTGTCTTGTCAAACTGCCAAGGACCACCAGTGCATATTTAGTGTTCTAAATATAGAAGTGATAACACTCATCAGCTGTTTGATTCCATTCTGTTTCTCTTATGTGTGTAAATCTTTGTGTTTGCATACCACAAATGCTATCTTAACAAGCAATTACATAGTAGCACTACAAATTGGTTTGGGAAGCACTTAAGGTCTATAGATCCAATGTAGAGTCCATGTTATTCTATAGAGCAGAACTCTCAGGTGCTGTTCTTATGGTCCAGCCAAAAACTGAAAAGATTTCTAATGACTTTTTAAAGCAACATTTATCTCTACCTAATTGAATGATGGGGTGGGGGGCTCATGTGCTCCAAAATCAGGGTGATACAGGTAAACCCTTTAGCTCAATTAAGGACTCTAAACTATTGGACAAAGAATAGCTCTTTTATACCTATCTGGAAGCCTAACAAGTGAATTTTGGAAGCCTCTCCTCTGCCAAATAAACCCTTGTTTGGGCGACTAAGTAATGTGTGCATTCTCCTCCAGAAATATGACCTGAGAAATATACTCCAAGTCACAGACCCAGTATTTCCCCTATAATTTAAAACAAGACAAATTTAAGAACTCTAAGAGGGTATCATGCAGATATACTACTTTACTTTATCTTTTTATATCATCATATACTACATTTTGTTTGGGGGGTTTTGTGTAAACTGGTAGAATGGATAATCTTACCATATGCTTATAGCAAAACTCTTAGCCTTTTAGCAAAAATTATCATGTTATATATATTTTGTATTGCTCATTTTATTGTACTGTTTTGGCAAAAGCTATAAATAAGCTACTACTGCTACTGCAAATTGAGAAGTAACTGCCTGGATTATAAGACTTCCTGTAGTACAGGAATTCCCTCACCTTTTTATCCTGGTTTCATTAAATGTACAGAAAGGTTAATACTGGCAGTATAAATTGCGTGCTAATACAGGCAGCCCCTGCTTAACGCTCTCAATTGGTTCTGGAAAAAACGAGCGTTAAGCAGAACCGCACTAAGCAAAACCCATTTCCCCATAGGAATTAATGTAAATAGAAATAATTAGTTACTGCCACTTCTTGCTGCAGCTTCTTACCACCGCCACCTCTTCCCACCCTTCTGCCTGCCTCCTGGCCTCTCTGGCCCCACATGCTAACCCACATGTGCCAGCCCTGTGCTTCTGCCACTCCATCCTGGACCCCAGCTGGCCCCATGTACCAGCTCCATGCTTCTACCTCTCCACCCTGGGTCCCTGTTGGCCCTGCCCCCAGGCACTGGTGGAGGCTCCACACTCATGCCTGCCCCTTCCTTCCTGCTCCCACTCACTGCTTCTCACCGTTGCCGCTTCTCCCCACCCCTGCTGTGACACTGTGCGCCAGCCCAGGCCCTCGCCCACTCACTGCCACTCACCACTTCTCACCGCCACTGCTGCTTCGCTGAGCACTATAACGAAACTGGCTCAGCGCTAAGTGAAATCGGGTATTAATTTTAAATGAGCACTATAGCAAAATAGTACTAAGTGAAACTGCGTTAAGTGGAGGTTGCCAGTAATTTGAGTATGCAAAGTGTATCAAGTGGATTCAGTAAGAATTAAGCAGAATTAGGGCATGCCATTGTTTGTGGCATAATGTTTGTCATTTTATATAATCTTTATTTTTAATTCTTGAATCAGTGAAGTTCACTGAAATTGATGAGTTCAGTGAACTAAGTGGTGTTTTATGGGTGGTGTTTACTTTCTCAATTACTTTCTCAATTTAGTGAAAAAGTTATGAAGCATGTTATGAAGGTAAGACTGTATGTGGCCTCATCAGATACTACTGACTAAAGTTTCTGCGCTTGTTTGAGGAGCCATATCTGTTGAAAAAGGGAATCCGTATAGATGATCTTCTTGATGAAATGCAGTAGCTAATTTTCATGCATAGAGACATCTGTACCTTGGAGATTCAGTCGCTTTAACTGATTACATGGAACTATTACTAAGATTATGGTACGGGGAGTTGAATATAGAACATCTGTCTTACTAGATGACTTTATAAAAGGCAATGAGATGTGAGACATTCTCTTAATATCTGGAAGATCCTAATGTCAGGTACAGTTGGAGCTTAGTGAGGAGACATTAATATGGAAAAGTAGTCTTCAATCAGATAGTGAAAGAGCACCTTAACAGCTCAATATCTGGTTTATAATTCCTTTTTTTAGCTTCCGGTTTTCATATCTTCCACTAATATGCTTGTTTACCCAAATCCAAGATGACCCTGAATTTAAGATGCTCTCCCCCCCCCCCCCCCCCCTTCTTTTTCTTCTCCACACA